GGATAATATGCTGTTTCAACAGTGTTTTGAAAGGATTATTGGGCTTTTTGCGACTTTGAGTTTTCAAGATCACAACTAATTAATATTCATGAAAAAATTAGGACCAGAGAAAAAAGTCCGGATAATCGAGGTTTGACTGTACATTCTTCTGTGACACATTTCACCTGGCATCTGACCCGAGCAAAACTTCCCTCTTAAAGAAATGTGAAATAAAATAGGCCCAGTGCATGTTTGACTTTTTAACATGGTCTTTTGGAGGAGAAGTAATAGATTTCTCAGGCAATTTTTCATCTTACATGATTGCGGGGTAAAATAGGAATAACTAGCTAATCATTTTTTTTACAGAGCATCATGCCGTTAGCAGTTGAGATTACTCAATCTACCTGTCTTGTGACGAGGGACGGATAAAATGCTTCACTGGAGAATGTAGATGCGCGAATGAAAGGCACACACTATTTTAAACATGGCCAAATTGACAGTTGCTCTCTCTATTAAGAAGGCCATCTGAGTGAAAGGAAAACAATTTCGGAAAGTACCACTTGCACTTTTCTTTTCCAACTATATGAACTCAGTTATTACAAAGTTGCAAAATCAATCCTTTCTAAGCAAGCAGACATCAAGAAGCAAGCAGATATCAGTACATTATGACATTAAATGCGGTGTTCAAAGGCGGGTGATTCCATATAAAAGCGCTGTCTCGTCTGACTGGGAGGAGACACCTTACCAAAAGTCGTCCACAATTACACAAACATCGATACAGCTATGTCAGATCTTGTTTTCTGGACTATGGCCGCTGAATAATTTACTCGTTCGACTTTGGATTCGCCTTCCGGGCTCTTTTGAATATTGTACAACTTGTAAAAATACAGGCCTCTTTCATCTATATTGGGGAAAGAAATAGCCGTAAAAAAATTGCCTCATGGAGAGATGTGATGGCCGTTTTCCCAACAGGCTTTGGCCAAAGCATGGTTTTTACCGTGTTTCACTGTTTGCGCTCACCAAACAAGAATTGTCGTCTACGAGAACCAGTCTCGTTGTTATTTTGCTGTTAAAGAGCATCATCGACGACCAAATGTCATAAATATTATCGCTGAACTTACTTTAATTCACAGCAATGGAATCGTCGTCTGATGTTTTATGTTCTTTTGTTGTTTGAGGACTTCGATCGCGGCTTGCTTCACTTTCTGCAGGCTCGAGTAGATGAAATTATGAAGTTTAAAAGCGTTTCTTATTTTACGAACACAGGCATGGCACACACGATCAGATGACGTGTCTGATTTTTCTATTTCTAGACCAATTTCAGATTTTTGACAAAGTGTCATTTTGAAATCCTTCACGCTGAGAGACCTTGAAAAGGTTTTGAATGGAACTGATTAAATTTTCCGAATTTGATCTTGA